GATTGTAATGAAAACACTGAAACTAGCTAGTTGTCACTTCCTATTTATACCTACCCCACCGGTGGCGTGACCTAGGTAGTATGCTCCTCCAAGAGCGTCCCCTCAGGGATCGGTCACCCACTGTAATAAGTGCCGTTTCGCGTATGTTCGCGACACTCCCGAGAGAAAGAGAGGGAGGCGGACCAATCACGCCTAGGTGAAGTGAGCTTAAGGTGGTAGGGAACGGTTGGGAGTGACATTCAAGTAGAACTTGAGATAAAAATTTGAAATACAATGGGATAATAATACATATTTACAAGATAAAAGGAAACCAGAACATTAAAATTAAATTAGAAACAAACTACAATTAAAATTAAATTAAAAAAATGAACTAGATAAATCACGTTATTTCACAAATTACAATTACTTATTAACATTTTTATTTGCTATTACGTTTTCTCTTCTTCTTACTCTTCCTCACGGCAACTTTGCTCATCTTTAAGTCTTTTCACATTTTCTGGTTCTTTTAAATCTTTCTTACAAAATTTTTTTTTTAATAAAATATGAATAAACGAGCAAATAAAAACTTTTTTACGACTATAAGTTAAATATTCATCTCTATAAAAACATTAACTTTAAACTAACAAATAATACCCTACGTATTCTTCATAAAGTCTCTGATGGCGCATAACACTGCAAAAACCCATGAAAATCCTGCAAATCACATAAGGTATTAGAGTGACTGCAAACAAATGCAGTCCACACAAATGACTTGCATAAAACGTCATCGTCCCCTCTAATAACGACACCCTCTCTCGCTTTTGAGAAAGGTACCGTTGTTCTGCAGGGATCCAACACGAACTCGACGTTTCTTTATCACAGCTGGACAGCACTCTAGTGGTGATGATTATAGAATGATCACATTCCTGTCTTTGATATTTGCTGATGTTATACACTTCCGCATCCGGTTCGCTTCTTTCAATTGCCTTTACAGTCGCACAATAGTAGCATAGAATAACAATTTTTGCGTAGGGTTACCTATCCTTGACATATCTTGGGAACTCTACTGCGACGTCGTTTGCTGGACTGTTCACCATCTTATGTATGTTCTTTTCGTGACTCATACATGAGATTCTTTCCGTAATAGTTCCATTTGGATTGTCACGACTATCATTCTTGGTTGACGCACGTTGATAGCCTGCTCCAGGGCTCGACCTTCATGAAAGGGAGATCTGTCATGAGGTAAACGCTTCATTATTTAGTTTTGTATGAATCTGGTATCTGCATCCGGGTTCTAATCTTTCCAATATTTGTCGAGTTCTTCTGATACGCGACATAACTCTCACCAAACAAAGATTATGACGTGTCTTAGTTCTCATATGTATTATGAAAGTAAATTTAACAAAAAGAAATAATAATTACTTAGCGCTCACTAAAATTCACGAATTAAATTAAGGATAACTTTTCAAACGATAACATCTGGAACAAAATATTGTCGTTACCACAACAAGAGATTGAGATTAAAAGCTAAAGGAAAGAAAACTTTCAGTTAAAATTACTTTAAAATAATACAACAAATGGAAATTAAACTCAAACTCAGGAAATAAGAACCAACTAAAGA